GTGGACACTAGCTGATGGTCTGATACAGTATGTCTTAATATCAATTCCTAGTTTGTTTGGCCCTTCACCCTCCTTCACTTTCTAACTAAAGTTATAGATTAAGGGAAAAGGCTGTGATTAAGACATTATTGTTTTTCAAACTGAGCCAAACTGAGTTTCAAAAATAAAAATTATATTTTAGAATAATGCACACAATAAATACATTGATTAAAAAGAAAATGCCAGAGCAAACATTCATATGTATATACAAAGTACGTTATATAGAGGAAAGATACTGTACTGTTGTTAATGAAGAGGGGGAAGGATATTATAAACAGATTGTGCCTACTTTGCGCAAAATACATATCTTTATGAAGTGTTTATAACTAATGCAAAAATATAGTTAATACTGGAAAGCCATGATATAAGAAGGATATAAGGTTGCTTAGTACCTCACAGTTCATGAAGATATTACACAACTGGATACTGTGCCAGTATCTGGCAGACCTCAGAGACATTCTGTAAATAAAATCCAGGCTTCACACATAGAGCAAACACATATTCTTCAGTTAATTCTTATCTCAGTGAAGGATATGATTAAGAGAGAGAGAGAGAGCAACCCACTTTCTATGTTACCTTTGAGACTATATACATAATGGTTAATAATTTGAACATAGATCCCGAAAGATAAACTTTCCAGTTAAACAACACTATGTTTACCCAGTGAATCAAGTAGGCAATGTGTCAGCACAACAGTGAAAGTTCTCTCTAAGGTTTAGAGCTGTACAATTTTAATCTATTTAAAACAATGGACCTAAAATGCACCCTTGTGGAACACCACAAGGACTGATACACAAAGAAATTCAAACCCACCTGGTTTTTTAAATAGCTTTTTCAATGTTGCACATTTTACTAGTTATTACAGCCGAGGTTAAAACCATCTAGGGTGTGTTTATACATGTACAGCTTGTGTACAGTGAGGTGAGCAACGATTTTACAAAGCTACAGAGTTTAAGGATGTGATTTCTTCCTATCTCATTGTTACCTGTTGTGGTGGGGACCCTGAAAGGGTGCCCTGAATGTGAGGTGACTTGTGTTTGCTAAATGAAGCATAGTAACACTTAGTCCCGAGCTCTTTTTGATTGAGAAGACTGGGCTCTGGGCTTCTTTACAGAGTAGAATATCCACCTTTTCTCTCCTGCAGTGATGCACAGCGACCTACTCACTCGATCTCCAGATAGATTAGTGCAACTGGGCACTGAAAGTAATACTTTCCTGCCCATCTACTATTTATTCAATACCTAACATCTCCATGGAAACAATCACAATCGGGGGTGGGGGGTGGGGGGGCTCCTTATTTTCACTGAACGGGTTGAGCTACACAGCAGCTGGGTAAACAATATGGTGCATTTGTGTTTGACACCCGTGATACTGTATGTGTTCAATAAGCATTACAGATATTCATTTGTATTCTATCATCATCCAGAAACTCTTGCCTGCAATACAGGTGGACGCAATCGGGATGCAGTGCCCCACCGTTAGGCAGAACTGCTACAGTCTTCTACTGTAATCTCTCTGTTCAGGACAGGAGCAGTGAACACTGGCACTCTGGTGTGGTGTTCATCCAGTGATCTGAAGAATTAGTCATGCTGTTTTGTTGATGTTAAGGTTAACAGGAAGCTCAGAGGACTGGAGCAAAAATAAACTCTATAAAAGTCTATTATATAGCAATAAATGCAGACCGTATGAAGTGTGCTGGGGCTTACCATTGTGCAAATACTCTGCTGGTCATCTCTGCCATTACTTGCAAAAGTATTCACCAGCTTGGGCTCTCCAGGGAAGGCAGGTGTGTGGCAATTCGGGAAGCCTGCCAGAAGAGACAAGTTTGTATGAGGAGCCCAGCGAACGCAGTAGAGAGCAATCAGCATGCAGCTAAAGCATCCGACAACCCGAGCTGGGTAGAAAGGGCGGCGCTCAGGGCGAACATGCCTGGTTGTATAAGGTTACTCTACACATCTCCAGGAAGCATTAACATCAGGCGTATCGCACTCCGCCGACACATACCTCCTCGCTAGAGGGTAAGGTCTAATTACAGCTGCCTTTTGAAATTGCTGCCTGATTTTGTTAAGAATTAATGTGAGAGTGCAACCCCTCTGCATTTCACCGTGCTTGCCAATACAAATCTGCTGAAAAAAGGACAGCCTTCAGCACATGAGATGTACTCGTGTACTGTATCACTCACTCCCCGTTTTCACGGAAGTGAAGCGAATTAAAAAGACAGAACATGGCCTTGGTTGATTTTGCGTTTCACTGTTCAACTGTAGCCTGTGACATGCCAGGAGTCCAAAGGTTTATTAACCTGCCCTGGCTTCTTTCAAGTAACAATTGGATGAGATCCTTGGATCAATTAACTACTAACTACCAAACGAGCTCGGAGGACCAAATGACCTCTCGTTGGAACCTCTCTGAAGGCTACATCATTTTGTAATAATTAGCTCTTGCTGTTTTACAAGTACTGGCAAGAGATAATTACAATACACAGTCTTAAAGCCATGGTCTTGAAACACCCCATAAAGCTGGAAGGTGTGCCTTGTACAAAATACAGTATTTGTATGTCTACAATATAGAGGATTTTAACTTGCAGCCAAATGGTGTTTTTCCACAGTGAAATCCTACTGTATGTTTGTGCAGGTGAAGGAGGATTGATACACATCAGTTTTGTTTTTTGTTTGGGGCGAGACTAACACCATGGTTAGGCCCAACCTAACAACACCACAGGCTGAAGTGTGGAATAGCAGGATAGGTGCTGGCCAAGGGTTCGAATCCCAGGTGAGATTCTCCTGTTTCTCTCTTCAATGAACAATGAGGTGTCTCATGCAGACTGTTTGTCTAAATGGATAACTCTCCTGGGCATTATTGGATGACACATTTGGCATCAATATTACTAGACAAGTCAAGGTTTTGTTAAATAAAAATAATTTTAAACCCTGTATTTTTCACCCAAATGTACACTTCAAATGTATTCTTCTGAATTTGTAAAATCAGAAAGACTCCATTCTACTAAAGACACACAGGTAAGTCAATTGGCTATGGGAAAATTGGCTCTGGTCTGAGTGTGTCTGTGTGTGGCCTGCAATGGACTGGTGTCCCATCCAGGGTGTATCCTGTTTTGTGCCCGTAGCTTCCTGGGACAGACTCCAGCTCCCCCGCCACCCTGTACTTCATAAGCGGTTATTGAAAGTGATGTGACGATGATGTGATATTAGTATCAGTTATTTGGTAACTTATAATCAGGCAACAGTGTCTTGTAGTGTTTCTATCTCTAGATTGTAGCATTGTAATTGGTTTTCAGATTTCCCCTTTCCTTTAGACTACTCTCTTTCCAAAACTGGAAATCAACATGCATCCCTTTCAGTGCTTTACACCGCTAGTGGTAGGAGCAGGGTACAAGGCACTCCACAAGATGCATGCACTTCGTGCCCATCACTCCATCCCATAAAAAAAACCAACATTATAATAGATTTTATTTTAGAATATTTATGTTGAAGGTTTAGAATTTCAGCCAGGTTAGTCACCCTAGTAAAGCTCACTGTGTTGTGACTAAAACACAAAACTGCACAAATGAAATATAATGATAAATAAAGGTTTGGGGGAAAAGCATGTATCAGTCAAAAAGTCACTTTTAGCTACAAAATTACAAAATAATTATAATATTAGTATCTGTCGTATTCTATCCATACATATTCTGTGATTCAGAACAAGGCAACAAAACCTCCAGTGATACTACGCGGGCTTATTAAAAGCAGCTTTCTGAATAATCCAATAGAAATATTGCTTTTGATTTCGGACGGTTTTGCCGACAAATACGACTTACTCGTTAACTCTGCATGCAGATCACGTTGGAACTTTTCTGCTGTGAAATGTCAGCTGCACAATCTGTACTCATTTGCTCTTACATCACAGTACAGTACATTAGTCATTACAGAGACTAGTGAGCAGAAAGGGCCACATCACGTTGCAATTCATGGGAACTCGAACGTGAGTTTGCAACAGCATAGCGACTTACAGCACTTTCACAATTTCACAAAAGTTCACAATTCTGTGCTTAATTCAAAATTTGTAAAATATTTCTATAATGTCAATGAATTAATTTTGATACAAGATTTAACAACCAGTCGGACAAATTAGGACTGCAGTTCCCCTTTAATATTCCTAGTTTACAGTCTATATTTGATTTTGCTGTTCTTTTCCTGGCAGCATGCTTACTTAGCTTTTCTTATTAATGATAAATGTACCTTGTCAGACTGGACTACTACTAAATATGAGGTCATTAAGTTTCACTTACGAGCCATAATTACGTTCAAGTTTATTGTTTTACTATTGCAGGTCTGTTCAGGACTGTCAGATTATCACATGCAGCACATTGCAAAGCCATGGGCCTCAAGGGCAGTAGATGTCAGGTTTGCGTATGCAGCAGATTACCCCGCCAAAATGTTTTGGTAATGAAAAAATTAAATCCCCATGAGACAAGCTGATTCCAGATCCCAAATAAAGAGCTTCCGGAGCGGAAGCAGGTGTACAAATACAGATGTCAAGTGTCCTGGAGAGGCGCTGTTTACACACCGCGTTTCTCACCTCTCCCACCCGCCCGTGCCTGTGACGTTACAAGCACACCCGTCATGGCTAACAGGACAGTAACCTCTAGGGGTCTGCACGAAATCTGTGTGTGCATGTCAGAAACGCACCTCGAAACTTAAGAACAATCACAAACACCAGGAGCCCATTATATTATCCTAGTGCATTTTTTTTGTTAGCTGATTAATCCAAGTTCTTGTCCAGCCAGGGCACCGGCTTCAACAGCAGTGCTGGGTAGCTTGTTCCACACCCCCACCACGCCTAACTTTCAGGTCTGTTTGAACTACAATTTATAGACACTAGAAAACCTTAGGAGGAGAAGGCCCGTGCCTTTTGGTTTGTCAACATTCTCAAGTTATGAGTTTCCAAGGCCAAAGGATGAGTATTCCTATGGCAATACTGTGTACAACAGTGATTCTCACCCTCTGTCCAGATGTGGTCCACACTGCTGGTATTGGGACAGAACACACCTGCTGCGGAGTCCGTGGACACACTGAAACCGTGCTCACTCCTAGTCTTAAGTGACTGTGTTCCTGCTTGGTTTTTCCTCTAGCTGAGTCCTTAATTACGGTAATTGATATCAGTTTTCTGCTAGAAACTCATTTTTGAATTTGCTTTTAGGTCGTATGAAATTTAATGGGATTGGTCACTGGTATCCACCCTAGACTAATTAGCGAGTTTCAGAACCGCCCCCATCCAGGTGTGTTAACTGAAATGGGACCAGCGGGACTTGGAAAAAACAAATAGAAAAATCAATCCCACTTGTGTCTGTTCATCCTAAAATGGTCCGTTAGGAGCCTGTTAGTAAGTATTAAAGGATTTAAAACTTCTTAATTAGCAAATTGAGGAAAGGCCCGCAAAGAAAATTCTGCATTCTAAAGTCATTGGAAATCATGTAAACAGGGAATGTTTGAAACCAAGAACTGAGTGCAGAAAAAAAGGCTTTAACAAGCAAACAGATCAGTTATAGGCACTAGTCAGAACCAACAATTAAGGGTCCAGATGGAGCACCAGCAGACATAGGGGCAACCCAGCACCGCAGTCCTACCCTCCTGAGGTACGTATCCTCAACAGCTAACTGCAACGCCTCAGACTCGATGCACGTCTGCCTTACGCACTTCCTGCACGGTCTGCCATGTTTATTTTCTCACTACTATACTGTATATGTATTGCTCTCCGCAGTATATCTGTCGTTCTTGTCATTTATTATGTACAGTCTGCATTGTGCGGTGCTGCCTGTTGTACTGTGTCGTCTGCTGTACTGTGTGTGTGTTTCCCGAGAGATCAGTGTGAATAAGAATTCCAATGTACATGCGGCAACAAACTCCTCCACTACTCATTGGGGTCCGATGTTTGAAAGAATGACCCTGCTCCAGGTGCTGTGTTTCTGCCCAAGAAGCATGTGCTTCATTGCTCGGCGTGCAGGTGGTTGTTTAAACAGACGGGCTTATCTTTCAGCTTCCTAGTAAACATCCATATCGGTCTGCACGAGCAGCATGGGAGGATAAGGGAGAGTAACCCTCTCTGCTGCTTTAATGAACCTCCATCAGCACTGGCAGTGAGTTTTCAACAAATACCTGGGTATGGAAAACACAACTGCCCTTCAGCTTTCATCAGACCTGGGTTTACAGGCCATCTGACAGCAGGCGCTGCCACCTTTTATCAGCTCTGTTGACAGGACTTGCTGTCTACCAGACGTCAGCCAGCGTCATTGTGTTCTTTCATTCTCCTGTTCACACATCTGCCAGCTAACGCCCAGCTACTGCGGCTCTACATCTTTGCTGCAGAGGAGGAAAAGAAGATATTAAGAATCACCTGGAAATGTGAGGCCCTTGTGTTGTTCACGGACTCCATTTCCAAAAGCAGCATGGCACCCCGCGGAGCCTGCGAGGAGGTCTCCCCTGTGCAGTGGACTGGGGTCCAGGTGGGGCTCCTGCCAGCTCCGATGGTCCAGCAGCAGGAGGCGCACCTGAGACAACGATTCTGCTTCGGTCCCATTGCCCAGAGTCAGAGAAGACGTCCTCTTTGACAGCTCTGAAAAGCAAATAAGCCACAGCGCATTTCTTCCGCCCAACTCCAGGACACCGCTCTGCTAAACATTTACTTTCATTGGCTAGACAGTAGTTTGTCGTGTCATTTTCCATTAATCTTCTGTCCTCCCACTTCTCAACTGCCCGTGCTTTGCTACTAATAACAACTCAATAGATTTACTGTACGTGCTACCTTGTGTCCCAACAGATCGTAAAGTGTTTTATACAGTATACAGGAAAGGATCCACGGCCACCTGGGTCCTACGTAGCTGCTGTTCTGCACACGACACAGAGAAGTCAGTGATCACAAACCCAGGGGAGAATGTAGCCAAGGCTTCTGGGTGAGGTCCCCTCATCCTTTGAAAAGTGCCTTGGGGTCTTTAATGGCCAACTAGTCTGCAGTTTGGTTGAAAGTGTTTTCCAGAAGTACAAAACCTCCCACTGCGTTCCCAGTCACCATACTGGGACATTGGTTGGAGAAGTTTGGTTTAGAAGGAAGGGCGCCACCTAGTGGTCCTCTTACTTCTTCTTCTCTTGCTTCTTCCTCTTACACACCAATCTGGATTTCCTTAAAGTCCCTCCATGCCAGTGTGGACCAGGCCCAGCCTTGCTTAGCTTCAGAGATCTGTTGCCTTTATTTAGGACACCATTGTGTTTTTTTACCGTTGTGTACTACGGTAAAGGTCAACAGGCAATGGGACTCTGTCATTATTCGTTTTACTTGGACTGCAACAATGTCATTCCTCTGCTCAACTGCAGGAGGTATGTTCATATTTGATCCATCTGTCCTGTTATCTGAGGACCTAAAAATGGATATTTTGTGGTATTGATTTGGTTCATATAATGATGGCGCATCAAAAGAACAAATTTATCATTTTCGATGTGGTTGAATTCAGCAGCTAGATGAAGAAAAGAAGAACTATATGGCTTTCACACTGTACATCCAAGAGAGAAAACAAAAAATGATTTTATGAAGGCTGGTCAAAAGAGCCTATATTCTGTCCTGTACAACACCAAATGCCAATTCCATGATTTGACAACATGAAACCACAACTTAATTAGCCTCATTGGTGAACAATTAACAAATGGAATTAGAAATTAATTACACAAACCGTTCTTCCCCAAGCACAGAAAGGCTGTACTTGTTCCCAGTAGGTTATGATCAGAGAGAGAAGTGGCTGAGTTCTCCGCTGATGGACATGTGTAACTGACAGTGACGACAGTTACCAGTAAGTTTCTGGTCATTCGGTCACACGTTATTAAATACTCGATTTGTAACAAAGTGTTACTGGCACTTTGCCCATGCAAATGTCAGCCCATGACTGGAGAGCAGTTTTCTGAGTCCATTGATGGTTTTTTTCATCAAGGGACATTTTCATTGTGTTGCCTTAGCTATGCTACAGTGAGTTTCTCCTCTAAAAGTTCCAGGCTGTTGCAATGGAGTTTGGCACTCACTTTTTATCATGAATCTCCAGTCAGATTCAGAGATTCCATTTCAGTCATTTAAGACATAGACACCTTTTTTTAAAATCCATGCTTTGAAGGAGGGGGGTATTTTCTTAAAAAAGCAGAAGTGGTAAAAAGTAAGAAACAATTCTGTTTTGGGAAATATGAATGAAAGCATTTTTTTTTTGTTGTTGGTCAAAATAAACCTGAAAAAAGCAAAATAATAGTAACCATAATATTAATAATTAACCTTGAAGTGGAAAGGAAAGCAGAAAAAAACAGTATCATGTCTTTCCTTTTCTTCTGAGATCCACTATTGCAATATTTAAATGCTTATAACTTAAACTTGTTAAACCCTCGGCCTGCATCAGAAATAACTACGGGTCTTAATCTTGATGTACTGAAAAGATGTAAAAGCATCACTGCAAAACACTCCAAAACAGATTGATTTCTGAAATAAAAAATGTTTTAGAACTAATGCACACTACTTGACTGGACATATTTAAATATTTTTAACACAGGAGTTAAAAATACTTTATACTGTAAATATGCTTTCTGCACAGGAGCCCTTTAAGATGGGAAACAAGGAGATAGACGCAGTACAGACACAGTACTGAATACTGCCAACGTTCTGCCAACCTGTAACATTGTTAAATAGTAAAGACAGGGCTCTTGCGGAGGATTCTGGGAAAGACCCAAGTTATTATTTTACATAGGAATTTATTTCTATGTTTTTAATGGTCCAGAAGAAAATCTCAGGTTTTATAAGGCACTTTGAAATGGTTTGCTCACCAAGAAAATCTGAAACGATGGATTGACTGAGAAGCATTGGAGTCGAGGCCATATTGGACAGTTAACGCAGAAGATGTGAAAAATGCTTTTCAGTGAGGCAGCAGGAGGATGAGCAACAGGATCATTCGAGGGCAGAGTAGATGAAACACCAGACCAGGGTTAAAGTCTTATCACACACATAGAGTAGGTTGCTTTACAAGTTAACAAGACAACCGCGCAAACAGAATGCACAACTTGACAGAGAATGGCACTCTGCTTCGCCAGACTCAGTGACTTTAACACCTGCTTACAGTTATTTGGGTTATTTGATCTGAATTGCTTAGCACTTGTCCCATGATTGGTCAAATTCACATTGAAGAAATATTAGCCATGATGAGATTACTGAATTACCGAAATATAACCAGCACTTTCATCTTCTTAGCACTGTGGGAAAGGTACTGTATAAAAAGGGCAAAGAAATTATTAGGATATACTGTATTGGGATGTATAGTTGGAAGCATTTAGAATATTGTGCATCATTTTGCTTACCATGTTACAAAAAACATAGCTCAGAGAAAAACAAGCCAGATATGTTCAATGCCCATTCTCACCTGTTCAATCGCTCTGATTGATAAGGTGAAGCTTTAAAAAAAAACGATGAGAAAAACACAAAGCATCAATACATCTACTCTGAACGTCTTTGCTGTCAGCCTGCCGTAAGCTTGTCTCCCTAATAGCTTCAGGAACAGTATTTGTTTGCCTTTTTCAGCCCATTTGGTGAAACACCTTGCCAAGGATTAGCTGATGAAAATCTCTCCTATACCCCGAGGGAGGCTGTCAGCTTCGTTACATAACACCACACTTTCCATCTGAAAGCTAAGCCCTCCTAAGACGACAGGAACATTGTGTGTCACCGTCTACATAAACAAATCAAGGACTAAGAAAACAAGAGGACACAGCCCTGAGGCTGAGCGTCCAGCCAGTCAGGCACGGGTGCGACTCTCACAGCGCGCGCAAGCAAGCTTACCGAAGATTTGTGGGACTGCCCAGTAAAAAGATGATAAATAATACCAGTTTAAAATTAACACAGTTACACTATCATTCCATTGTGAGTAATATCTTTAAATTACAAAACTACTCAGAGCAATATCTCATAAAGCAAACCTATTTACATAAAATTATGTTTTAATCAAACTGGTCTGTTTTTATATGTATCACACCCTTGACAGGATGATATAAATATAAACTAGAAAATATGCTGGCCGTGTGATTTCCACAGCACGGGGAACTTTGAAGTATCTAAATATAACAATGATTGTACAAAACGCTTTCATTACCGGAGTGGTGTTGACTTTCAGAATGAGGTCGCCCTTCAAATCCTTCAAATGTAAAAAGGTGCTGTCCTACAGATGTTAAACAGTGGTTCTGACTCTCTGTGGTCATTAAAAATCCCAGGGGGTTCTCTAAAAACTAAATAGCCAAACTGCAGCTCCTTTGGCAAATCACCCATAATGGCTACATGGACACACAGTTTTCACTGAATTCAGCATACTGCACTACTTGGACATAATGTATTACATAGACCCTGGACACATAGCAGCTCTTTTCATATTGAGCTCTGTCTGAGTTTATTTTATTCAATTTCTATTGCACTATTTTCTATTATTCTGTAGCTTTTATTTTGTGATTTTTATTTTTCGCAGTGAGCTCGTAGAAAACACATTTAATTGCCAGCAACTACTGGTGCACAGTGTATTGTTGTGTATTTGATAAATAATCATTGATTGATTAATAACTTTGATTGATTGATTAAAACAGTAGGGGTGCTACACTGGCTTCCTGGCCAGATTTCCCCCTGGCCTTTACCAATCATGGCCTCCTAATAATCCCCATCTCTGAACTGGCTCCATCACTCTACTCTCTTCCCCACTGAGAGCTGGTGTGTGGGGAGTGTACTGGTGCACTCTGCTCTCCTCCCCACTGAGAGCTGGTGTGTGGGGAGTGTACTGGTGCACTCTGCTCTCCTCCCCACTGAGAGCTGGTGAGTGCTGAATGTACTGGTGTAATGTGCACAAAATTACCTTAAAGTGCCACACAGTGATCCTGCAAAAGTGTGGCAGAAGGTGTCGTGGTTAGATGAGTTCAAATTGGACCTTTCATGTCTAAAGTGACATGTTTGCTGCAGACTAAACACAGGCCATCTCCCAGTCAACACTGTCCCTGCTGTCTATGGACATGCATCTTCTCATCAGGGACTGGAGAGCTTGTTAGCAATGAAGGGAAAATTCTGGGAATTCTCTGGGAAAATACCAGAGGAAACCTTGTTTCAGTCTGCAAAAGACTTAAAACTAGGTCAATAATACACCTTCCAGAATCCCACTGAGCCAAAGCACAAGGCCGAAGCTACTGTACATGTGGGTTACTGTATGCTGCAGCCACTGCAGAGCAAGCCGAAGCCCAAGGCTCTTCAGCTGTTCCCCGAGAGAGACGACTGGAGAGAGAGCATGTAGGCAGGGTGAAGGCCGCGCGAGAGAGAGGAGTGAGGGGGAAGCTGGGTGAGGGCTGCGCGGAGAAACAGACAGGAAGCCCAGCAGGAGAGAGGCTGGCCGGCCAGAGGACACCGGCAGTGGAGAGGCTGGAGTGGAGCCCCTCAGGGAGGCAGACAGCTGAGCCGGCTGGAGAAAAGGCAGAGACCGGCGGATAATGACTATGGAGCGAAGGCGAACCTCCCCTGGACCGGTGCTCGAAAAACGCTAGGGAATAAAGATGTTTGAGGTGGCTAGACTGAGCAGACACTTTC